TACCCTATTCTGGCTGGGGACCCTGGTACCTTTCAGGCGCAGTTCTTCCTGAGGTTGTACCTTTCGTCGGCCCAGACACACAGCTGCAATGTGTCCTTGTTTGCCGCATGCCCGGCAGGTAGCAGAGCGGAACTTGCAGTCGGTTCTCCTGTGGCGACCTCCACAGCCGATGCACTTGAGTGGAGCTGAAGAGCTTCCCTTCTGATTTCCTTCCTTCGTGGGGTGGAGATGGTCGACTTCCTCATCCGGATCCTCCTCGGAGTTCCCCTGGACGTCTTCCTGGTGCACGGATGCAACCTCTGGACTGTTTCTGATTGGCCGCATGTTCTTGACAGCGCCGCCTGCTGCTTCTTCTGCGGTGACTTCTCTTAAGGCATCTTGGAAGGACAATTCTTCTTTAGCGAAAAGTCTCTGTTGTAGATCTCGATGCCTTAACCCGCACACGAATCGGTCCCTCAGTCGTTCTTCGAGGTCCTTGAACTCGCAGTGCTTGGCGGCCTTCCTTAATGCGGCGATGTATTCTTTGGCCGACTCACCGGATCGTTGATCCCTCTGCTCGAAGGTGTGGCGCCATGCGATGACGGACATCTTGGGCTGGAAGTGCTCCTTCAGTAGCTTCTTCAGATCTGCGTAGCTGACAGACTCTACTGGAACAGGTGCTGCAAGGTTTTCTGCGATGTCGAAGGCGTCTTGACCGCAAACACAAAGCAGGGTGGCAGCCTTCAAGCTCTCTTCCCTCACTTGGTTTGCCTTGAAGTAGTTCTCCACCCTGGCTACGTAGGACTCCCACCGCTCTGGATGTGAGACGTCGAACTCCGAAAGCCTTCCAACCTTTGCCATCTTCAGGAGACGGGTCTATCAGCCAGCCTACCCCCGAATGCGCACTGGATTGGCGAGTAGCTGCCGAGTCGACACCGTTCCGCCGCTCAGGACTCACTTGGGTAAGCTTACACTTCTTCCTTTCCAGGCGATGTAAGGCATCCCACCTTCGTCGCCAGTGTTGAGTCCTTCGCGGAAATGTAAGACACGAGAAGCAGTTGTAGTTCTCAGTTTTCTTTATTCTGCGTTCAGCTTACAAGTAGATGGCTTCAGCAGCTCCCAAAACCTCCTAGCTTCTTATATAGACATTTCCCGGGTAAATGCGATACTTTTCCCGTGCCAGCACCCGCGCATGCGCATGGCGCTGGCGACAGCCTGTCTGGTCCCGGGCAGCTTTGCACCTGCCCGGGACTGCCTGCAAACGCCCTGAGCCGTTTGCAAGGCTCGGGACATAACACTAACGAAGAAGAAAAATAACAGCTCTCAAAAGAAACCAGCATGGCTGCATAAAGAACTCTCTGATAAATTGAAGGCTTTTTTCAAAATGTAAAAAACAAGAAAAAAGCTAAGAAAATGATTGGTCCATTAGTGGGAGAAAGTGGCAAGAAGGTGACAAGCAACAGGGAGAAAACAGAACTATTTAACTGTTTTGGGCATCCGCCTTTTCACAAAAAGAAAAAACAGTCCAACCTATCAAAAATAGTACCATAAACAACAGATTAGAAACACAAGTTAAGATAGGCAAGAAAATGGTAAGTGAGCACCTGTCCACCCTAGATGAGTTCAAATCACCAGGACTAGATGGAACTAGCAGTTGTGATCTCAGAACAACTGAACTATATCTTTCAAAGATCCTGGAGCACTGGGGAAATACCAGAGGACTGGAAAAGAGCTGATCTTCAAAAAAGGAAAAAAAGGGAAAAAAATGGGTCCAGGAAACTACAGACCTATCAGCCTGACCTCAATACCTGGGAAGATTCTGCAAAAGATAATCAAGCAGTGAATCAGCAAACACCTAGAGGCAAACAAAGTCATTACCAAAAGCCAACATAGGTTTGTCAAAAACAGATCACACCAGACAAATCTTAATGCATTCTTTGGCAAAATTAGTGGACCAGAGGGATGCTGTGGATATAATTTACTTGGACTTCAGTAAGGCATTTGATAAAGTAGGCCACAACCTACTACTTGATAAGATAGAAAAATGTGGGATAGACAGCATCACCACCAGATGGATTCATAGCTGGCTGACCACACTCAGTGTGTGGTCCTCAATGGAACTGCATGTACATGGAGGGAAGTGTGTAGTGGGGTGCCCCAGGGCTCTGTTCTGGGCCCAATGATCTTCAACATCTTCATTGATGATTTGGATGAAGAGATAGATGGGGAACTCATCAAATATACAGATGGCACCAAGCTGGCAGGAATAGCCAATACTCCAGAAGATAGGCTTAAGATACAGGGATTGGAGGAAGAAGAAGCAGCACTGCAGAATGATGCCCCAACTGGCTTCACAATGTTGTCTTTCTCTTTTCAATAGGCTCAATACCATTTTACTCTGTCTAGCTCCTTTGTCTTCAGCAAATTATATTTTGTGCTATAATGCACTGATTCTTTTTCTTTCTCTTCACAGAGAACTTTCGTCATCTTCCTTAACAAAATGCAGAAGTCTAATGGCATCATTAGTGAATTGGAACCTAGAAATTTAAATAATAAATATGCTGAGAAAAGCTACATTATTAACTTGGACTACCAAAAGATGGACTGCTCTTAGCTGCTATCTAATTGTTTGGATTTTTGTTGCCCTCTTTTGTATTTTTAGCTTCAGAAAACTGTAAAATTCTATGATGCTTTTCATTGTTGTACAAACTGTACAAATTCAAAAGTCTTGAGAAAACATTGGTTGATGTTACCTTTGCTTTAGCGCTGTAAACATCTGAGTCATTTTAAATCCTGTTTAAAGGGGAAAATGCTAGAAGATTTTATATTACAGGGAACAAATTTAGTTTCGAATATAGCATTTATCTGAGAGCTGAGTTTCAGAATTTTAAATATCTTCATTTTTCTAGAGAACATTGCTTTAATCACAGAATTTTTCAAACTAGTATAATTAATGCCAACAAATCTTTTGTCCACTTAGTGACGATCCATTTTTCACAGAATATAAGCTATTTTCAACTCTTCCTAGAAAAACTTAAATTTTGTGTAGTAGCTTTACAGTTTTTATCATAATATTGAGATTGAAATTTGCATCATGATTTTGTGGCTCATTTAACAAGTGTTGGCAATGTGTTTTATTGAATAGAACTGATGCTTCGATTAATCTAGCAGGGCTGGATGCTGAGAAGAAGAGCTGCTTAAAAGCCAAGCTCCAACCTGCCTCTGACTTAATGTAATTTTTGCAGGCCATGACTACAAATAGTCTTTAAAGGTTACTGTAAAATGAGACTGCAAGATTGATTGAATATAAAGAAGTAAGAAGAAACTATTCACATAATAATTTAAACTCAAGGAGAAAGAAGTCCCTTGATTCCATATGTTTTTCAGGAACAAGAAAAAAGGTGAGCCCCCTTTCCCAAATAGTAACAAAAGAAATACAACTTTACAAAGAAGTCTTCTTTATGTCTCTTAGTTAATGAACAGATGAGCAAACCCTAAACTGATTCTAAAGAAGATCTCAATTAATCCTGGAGAATCTCTATAGAACTGAGTCTATAGAAACTAAATTACCAGTAATAGAAATGGATGAGTAATTGAGATGGCAACTTCTAAAGCAGTGTGATAAGGTGAGAAATAATGCCTTACTTATGAAAATTCAGAACATTAAATAAAAGGGGAAAAATGACAATTATATTCAGAAGTTAAGAGTTAAAAACATACGAGTTTGCGGAGGGTCATTTAAAAGAACTATTTTTGGCTTGGATTTTGATTTGGATTGAAAGTATTTTTTTGCTGGATAAATGGGTTCACCATCTGCCAAGACAAAGGAGGACTAAATTTAATGAAGCCCAGCTATTTTCTTGTTGGTTATATATATATAAACAAGCACATACATACCCCTAAGCTGGTAACAACTTTGAAAAATCTTCCTGCACTACAATTTAATAAGACAGAAATAATTGTTTCATTAAAAAAATCCTATGAATAAAGATTTATATCCCTTTACTTCAAAATTACAGGACATTAAACATATATGGATTCCTCTTCCTACACTTTAACTGATTAGGAAAATAAAAGATTTGCAGTTTTCGGTAAGAAGGAGCTGATTGCACAATGTATGGCTCTTAAACCTGAACTATCACTTGGAGCTGAAGACCAAAAGATGAAATTAACAAGAGAGGTGGCAGAAGTGTAGGGAGGCAGGAAAGCTGAGCTCATCCTGATGCTGGGGTAGGAAAATTATCTCAAAATTAAGGATTTTATTTTTCAGATAGACAACTTGATCTATGAAGAAGAATAAACAAATGAACTCAGGCTGAATCTTTAATACCTATTGGCTATACTTGATACACAAACGAAAAAAATGGAGACAGAGAGAGACTTTAAACATTATAAAGAGAAAGTAAGTAATACATGTTTGCAATTATTAAAAGCCAGCCAATGTGTAAATATTTAAAAAAATATTTATTTTGCTCACTCTACAGGCTTTAGAGAAGAACAACATTAATGTATCTGGAACATTCCTATCCCTTTTTTCCACCCTCCAACATACCAAATATTTTTTTAAGGCTTAAGACAGACATCTATATAGTACTGGGTGATTCAGTTCCAGTTTGAGAACTGAAGTGATCGTTTCTGATTTAGTGTACATAAAGAGGATATTGGGTGAGTGGATTGAATCTACACTAATTTAGGGGATACATTAAATGTAAAGAGAATAAAACATACAGTGAACACCTATATATGTGTCCATTTATAAAAGATATGAAGCCTGTGATCTGTGATCCAATTCCAAAGCACTGAAATGCTAATGCAAGGTATTTACCTTTTTTGATAGTTCTAATACAACCAAGTATTCAATGGGAAACTTTTAAAACAGTTGCAGGAGAAAAATGAATTAAATAATTGCCAAGGATTAATAGACAAGGGAAAATTGCATTTTTTTCGTGAAAAAATACCCAAACGAGATACTAAATTTTTAACAAAATTTAAGTATTTACTGTAATTAAAAAAACTCAGAGTAAATGAAAATATTGTTCACAAATTTATAAACTTAATATTGGGAACAGCTACAAAAATGCAAATGTTTTAAGAAAAAGATGCAAGAATGACTTAGGGAGAGAAATGAACAGAAATTGGAATAAGACTATTGATGCAATTTGTTTTTTTATGGTTTATTTTGAATAAAACTATTTTTAAACAAATACTGTAGATTAGCAATCTTAACACACTTACCTAGGAAGAAAAATTATTAAATTGATTGACTTCAAAATAGGCTTGTGTAGAATTGTATCATACTTTAATGTAAAAGGTTGGTGTTCTGCTACATTTATTTAGACACGTATAACTATATCCTTCATTCTCTGCCTACAGAAAAAGGATATAAAATGTTCCTACTTTACATTTTGTACTTCAAATTACAATTTTAGCATAATTATTTCTCTGTGGAAACCAGCTCCTAACACCAAGAACCACAGGCAAATCCATGCTTTGGGTAAAGTTAGTCTCTTGAGTGCTATGAAAGTTCTAGTAATTAATATAAGACTTTTAAGTAAAAGGAAATGACATGTAATTAGTCAAATGTATGTTTTAAAATCAGATAAGTTATACACTCAGTACATAACTGAAACTCTATGAATGCTAAGGGATTCTTCCTTTTCCCTTAATGAATCTACAGAATTGATATGGGAACTTTGTGTGCTTTTGTACTGGTTTAAAAGTTCCCCGAATGTTGCATTAATATTGGTAAATTGTACTTAGAAGGAAGAGACAACAAATGGGGAAATACTTAAAGTATTCTAAAATTTTAAATGCTCTTATGAAAAAGTAAAAGAAAAAGCGAAGAGGATATCCTGTTAAGTACATAGATTGCTCTGAAGCTGGCTTACCAAGTTAAATAAACAAAGAGACTACTGTGTTTTTATTCAATAAAATTTTATTGTCTGACTTATAAATATTTTCCATTTTTCCCCTATGTACAATTGCAAAATACTTTAACATATTCTACCATCACCTGCCATTCAGAATCAATCTATAAATCACATGAATATGCCATTATGAAATAAAAGTGTCTGTTCTCAGCCCTCAAGCGGACATTCACACACTCACACAAAAATGAAATGAGGGAAATCGCAGGTGTCATTGCAAACTTTCGCTACACGGTAGCAAGAAGAGTAATGAGAAGATCTGCTCTCCCACTCAAAAGTCTATGTTGGCAAGCTTTTCAGGATGTTTGTTATAGACCAGTGCTGGCCAGAACATTTCTGGAGAACCAGTTGGAATCCAAATTCATTGTCGCTGTTTTCCTGCAACTCCAGGCAACGTTTGGATTTTCTGTTCTGGATTGGACCTCCCTTTTAAAAGTGGAGAAAGAGAAAATACAGATTTTAAGTTAAAAACCAATCTTCAACTCATGACAGTTCTAGTTACATACTCCAAGATATTCCACACTTCTGTTTATGTAAGCAATTTGGGGAAATTGGATGGACCTTATTGTCCCCCTCTGCACCTTGAGTCCTCTTGATGTTCTCCATTTCATCTATAGTTCTCCAATGAATCCTTTTCATTTTACTGGGTTTTTTCCCCTCTCCTTGCCTTTTTTTAAAGCATATAAATAAAGTTCTAAACTGCAGCTAATCAAAGAACAACTATAGATCTATTTTAAGTACTCTTAAAAAGACAGTGCTGGTGGCAGGCACCTGAGTTTGCAATGTGTAATTCCTCTGGTACTAATTATTTTAAAAGAACAGATTCTAAAAATAGTTCATTTAAAACATTACTTACTAGTGAAAAACTGTTTTATGGAAACAACATTCCAACTAGAAACACTATGATTAAACAATATTTTAATATCGATATTCTGTCAAGCAACCCATGACAGCATAAGAAACTGCAAGGCAAAGCTTTTCTTCCTTTCCCTTCATGGGATCCTATCTATCAGTGCTCAGTTGTGTCGAGCTACCAACACAATGATAAAAGTAGAGTTCCACTTTCACTTCCTACTCCTAATGATCTGATGGAGCAGGGCTGCATCATAGTTCTCCTGGGCTTGTTCCTGGGAGGGATTGGGCAAGGAGAAGCTCCCAAGCAGTGGACAGAACTTCTTTTGTCTCCTGTCTCCTTACACATGTGAGATTCTGAGAATGGAAGCAACAGAATATTGAGCTATACAACACAGGTCTAGCTCTCAAAAAAAAAAAAAAAAAGCTAAATTCTTGAACATAGGTTCATGTTAGATCGGGCAAGCTTTTTGGAGACATTATTTGGGCCAGTCAGTTTGTGGAAGCCAGCTTTCTGGTCTTTCCTGCAGCCCAAGCAAAAATGGCCAGAGATTGGAAGGGAGAGGCATTCTTGCAGCATTCTAAAGTGGCCAATAGGAGCTGAGCAGATCCCAGCCTTTGATCACATCATCAACCTCATTACTGGTGAAGCAAATGAAAACTAGGTCAGGAAAAGAGGGAAAGCACTGTTTTAAAAATGGAACAGCTAAAGACATTTTGAGCTGCTTTTTGTATGAGCTACAAATGAGATGAAGAAAGCATCATGATGCCATGTCATATAAAAAGAGCTGATGGGAATTTGTATTATAGCTAGAGGGAATATGGTTGACTTGTGGAACAAAGGAAAAAATAAGTTATTTATCTGGGAAAGAACGTTTAATCTTACCCCAAATTGTTAGTTAAACTGAATAGTCTGCTATTATTTTAACTTAAATATATTAATAATATTATTAATATAATATTCATTTTAATCTTCCTTTTTATCCCATTTTCAGAAAAAAAGAGAAAAGTAAACTCCCCTCTCCCTTCTATTAAATAGAGGTCAGATTCTCAACGTTGAGTCTGAAGTATTGTTCACTCTTAAGATAAAAGCTGCTCTCTATATAAAAAGATAAAGGGAGATAAAAAAGCTGAAGTTGCATTAATGTAGGATACTTAAAAAATGATGGTGTGCAATTGTGTATAGTATATATTTCTAGTTGACTGTGTCAAATAAATAATTTGTGGAACATCTTAACTTCATATTTTTGTTTGCAGCATTATCCACAACTGTTCAGTTTTGTATTTATTCCCATTGGCAAGACATGAAGAAGAAATGGACAGATCAAATATAAATTACAAACTACATTTTGGTTGATTTTTTTTTGGGGTGGGTGTGGGGGATGAAGGCAACTATGAAATTACCTCACTGAATACTCAAATAATTGATTCAAATAATTCTTTTATTTCAGCTTGCCTTACTGAACAACTTAGGTTAAAGTTATACCACAATCAAGAAATCAACTTAAAACATACTAAACAAAATTTCTTCGAAAATGCCAATAAACCAGGGAGATGGCTGGCTTATAAAATTAAAAAACACAACAACAAGCAGAGAATTACTAAACTTTATAATGCAGAAGGTGATATGGTGTACCAGAATGAAGGAAAGAAATTAGTGGCATATGAGTTCTATAAGAATTTATACAAAGATGATGAATGGAGAAATAACTATGCCATTGTACAGTATTTACAATCAGCTGACCTACCGAAGATGCCAGAAGAATTTAAAATTCTGTTGAACAAAGAGATAACACCTTTAGAACTCTTGGAGGCAATCAAGAAACAAAATAATAATAAAGCACCTGGGCCAGATGGTATACCTGTAGAAATGTATAAAATCGCACAAGAATCTCTAAGCCCAGTGCTGTTGGATCTATTCAATAAGGTTCTAACAAAAGCACCAGCCTCATGGGAAGAAGCTCTCCTCACTTTGATTCCTAAGGGAAATTCAGACCTGGCGCATATTAAGAACTATAGACCCATTTCTTTATTAAATTTGGATTATAAGATTTTCATGGCTATAATGGCGCAAAGACTTGAAAGATTTTTAGCGGATTTTATACATTCTGATAAAAATGGCTTTTTATCAAAAAGATATATAAGAAATAATGTCAGGATTGTTTTGGACATATTGGAGTATTATGAAGTGCATAACAAAAAGCAAATGGGTTTAATTTTTCTTGACACACAAAAAGCATTCGACAATGTGAAATGGAATTTTATGTTCAATCAATTATTGTATATGGATTTTGGGGAAAAATTTTTAAATATGTTTAAATCAGTTTTATTCTAAACAGGCAGCAAAAGTAATAATTAATGGAGAAATGACCGACAGCTTTCAAATTCAAAAAGGCATAAGGCAAGTTGTCCGTTATCTCCACTGTTGTTTATATTATCTCTTGAGGTATTAATTAGAGTAATTCGACAAGATGAACAGATTAAAGGTTTAGAGATCAAGAAAGAAACGTTTAAAACACAAGCTTTTGCAGACGATTTAGTTTTTATAATCGAAGAACCATTACAATCAGGGACAAGATTGATGGAAATACTATGGGGAAATAGCAGGTCTGAAGATAAACAAAGAAAAAACTAAAATGCTTGTCAAAAACATGACTAAAATACAGAAAAATGAATTGGTTGACAGAATAGGTATTCAAATCACGAACAAAATAAGATATCTAGGGATACAATTAACTGCTAGATGTGTTGCACTCAAAAGAGATAACTATGATAAGTTAATTGAGCAGATTAAAAAGGATTTAGATACTTGGACCAACCTACAGCTCTCCCTTATGGGCAGAATTGCGGTAATCAAAATGAATGTGTTACCGAAAATTTTATTTTTGTTCCAATGTATACCCACAAAATTGGACAAGAATTTTTTTCAAAATCTTAACAAAATTATACTCAAATTTATCTGGTGAGGAAAAAAAGCAAGAATTAAATTAAAATTACTGCAGGATTCAAACGGAAGGGGGGGATTTGGCCTCCCTCACCTGGAAAAAAATATTATCAGGCCATAGTATTATTATGGGTAAGAGATTGGATATTACTAAAGAACAGAAGATTATTATGTCTGGAGGGTCAAGACTTACAAATAGGATGGCACGCTATGTTATGGGATCATAAATATAAGACACATAAATATTTTTGAAGGCATTATATCAGACAAGCTCTAATTGATGTATGGGTTAAAATCTGGCAACCAAATTATACTCAAGTCCCCAGTTGGATCTCATCATTAGAAATGCATGTACATCCAAAGTTTATCCAACTAGGAAAGATTACAACATATAAAAACGTTCTAGACGAGAGAGGAGAATTGAAACCCAGGAAAATTCTTCAAGAAGAAGGGATAGAACTAGAATGGTGGGCATACCTTCAACTACAGGCGAGATATTGGAAAGATAAAAAAGAGTTAGGCATAAAATTAGAACTGATAGGGCTGGATAAAATATCATTAGGTAAGGAAGATAAAATGATTAAAAACTATATCATTATTTGTTAGATCAGGCAATGTATGAGGAACAGGTAAAAGAGACCATGTTAAAATGGAGCAGGGATTTTGATCTCAACTTTGATCTGCACATCTGGCAAGAACTATGGGTAAGAAACAGGAAGCTCACTCTGGCCACCTCCTACAAAGAAAATCTCTACAAAATGTTTTATAGATTGCATCTCCCACCCATAATATTAGCTAAAATGGGTCCAAATGTTTCTTCCAAATGCTGGAAATGTAAATTGGCAATAGGGACGTACTATCACATGTGGTGGGAGTGCCCACGAGCCAGTGATTTTTGGAATAAGGTTAAAAAATGGCTGGAAGAAATATTAATGCTAGAGGTAGAGTTAAAACCAGAACTCTTTTTACTAGGCATAACCAGGCAGAAATACGACAAAGGGGTATTCTATTTGATGTTACACATTCTCACGGTTGCTAGATTGGTATATGCTTAAAACTGGAGGAATAAAGGAATTCCAACAGAAGAAGAGATTTTATATAAAATTTTATCATGTGCTGAAATGGATAGGCTCACAATGGAAATGACGGATAATACAAGAATCAGACTACTTTGAAATCTGGGACAAATTTTATTACTGGTGTGAATTAAGGAGAACTGCTCGGGTTTCAAGGTAGTGTAAAGACAGAAATATATATAACTGTATATATAACTGTATTGTATAGAAGAATAAGTTTAAATATAGATTAAGAATGATGTATTAATTATATGTATTAAGAGGAACAAATTGTTAGGAATATTTATTCTGGAATGTCACGGTATGTCCATTTTGTTTTAACTGTATTACAAATAAAAAACTTAAAAAAAGAAATCAACTGAAAGGCTGTAATTATCAGATTTAACCATCTGTACTGTTTCAAAATATTACAAGAGTCATATCTATTTATTATGCAACCAAGGAGTTGTCACTATATATCCACAAGAAGCGTATTATCAGTAGCATAGAAATATATTAAATAGATCCTCAATTTAGTTTAACAATTTGCTAGATATGGTTTTGTATTGAAGAAA